ATCTGGAGCTGAGCCAATTTAGAGAGCTGAAATACAGGGGTAGAGGAAGCAGCAGAACCACCCTGGGAGCTTGCTGTGTCCCCTATTCGGCCATTCCTACCTGGCACCACAGGTATCCACCAGGTGGATTACCAAAGGAGCATGGGGTATAACTCCACAGGGAGAAGGGAGTCTCTAGCTGAACTTTCTAACAATTCAGATAGTGGAAGAAGCCTCCTGGCCAGAACTCAAGAGAGGATACAAATCTGATGTGCTGACTCCTCAGGCTGGGGAAGAACCAAGCACTTTTCTCTTGCCCTGAAGATGGGTAGCCCAGGATAAATTTTAAAGCCAGCTACACCCTCTGCCTGGAAACAGACTCGGGTCTGTTGGCGGGAACAAGGTGAGAGTGAGACCGGCCCTTTGGTTTCTGTGGGAGCTGGCTGAGGCCTGTGACTGCCGGCATTCCCCTGCTTCCCTGACAACCTGCATGACTTAGCAGAGGCAGCCATAATCCTCCTAGGTACACACCACCAGTGACCTGGGAAATCTCCCATCCTCCACAGCAGCTGCATCAAGACTGCCCCCCCCCCCCCACAGGGAGAGTCTGAGCTCAGATATGCCTAGCCCCACCCTCACTAGATGGTCCTTCCCTAGCCATTCTGGTAGAAGACAAAGGGCATATAATCTTGGGAGTACTAGGGCCCCACCCACATCCAGTCCCTCTCTATACTACTACAGCTGATGCTTTCTGGAAAGCGCCACCTCCTGGCAGGAGGAAACCACACAAAAATAGAGCATTAAACCACCTAAGCTAAGAACCCGCATGGAGTCCATTGCACCACCCTGCCACCTCCACCTGAACAGACGCTGGTATTCAAGGCTGAGAGAGCCATAGATGGTTCACATCACAGGACTTTGTGCAGACAACCCAGTTCTGGGTAGACTTGCTGAATGGCTAGACCCAGAAGAGAGACAACACTGTAATTCAGCTCACAGGAAGCCACATCCATAAGAAAAACGGGAAGTACTGCATCAAGGGAACACCCAGTGGAACAAAAGAATCTGAACAGCAGCCTTCAGCAATAGACCTTCCCTCTGACAGAGCCTACACAAATGAGAATGAACCAGAAAACCTACCCTGCTAATATGACAAAACAACGCTCATCAACAGCCCCCAAAAGTCACACTAGTTCATGAGCAATGGATCCAAACCAGAAGAAATCTCTGACTTACTTGAAAAATAATTTAGGAGTTTGGTTTTCAAGCTAATCGGGGACAGACAAGAGAAAGGTGAAGCCCAATGCAAGGAAATTGAAAAAATGATAAAAGAAGTGAAGGGAGAAATATTCAAGGAAATAGATAGCTTAAAGAAAAAGCATTCAACACTTCAGGAAACTTTGGACACACTTTTAGAACTACGAATTGCCCTTGAAAGTCTCAGCAATAGAATTGAACAAGTAAAAGAAAGAAATTCAGAGCCCAAAGATAAAGTCTTTGAATTAACCCAGTTCAACAAAGACAAAGAAAAAAGAATAAGAAAATACGAACAAAGTCTCCAAGAAGTATCTTGTCAGAGTATCTAGTCAGAGGAAAGGAAGTCATTATTCAAAAAGATACTTGCACACACATGTTTATAGCAGCACAGTTCATGATAGCAAACTCATGGAACCAATTCAAATGCCCATCAATCAATGAGTGGATAAAGAAACTGTGGTATATATATAAATGATGGAATACTATACAGACATAAAAAGGAATGAATTAACAGCATTTGCAGTGACCTGGGTGAGATTGGAGACTGATATTCTAAGTGAAGTAATTTAGGAAGGGAAAAAGCAAACATCATATGCTCTCACTGATATGCAGGAGCGAAGCTATGAGGATGCAAAGTCATAAGAATGATACAATGAACTTTGGTGACTTGCAAGGAAGAGTGGGAGTGGGGCAGGAGATAAAAGACAAGAAATATGGTGCAGTGTATAGTGCTCAGGTGATGGCTGCACCAAAATCTCATAAATCACCGTTAAAGAACTCACTCATGTAGCCAAGCACCACAATAACTTGTGGAAAAGAAAGCTAAATTAATTAAGTAATTAAACAAAACAGAAGAGAAAATAAACAAATAAAGCACAATTTTACTCATGATTGATATGTAAGAATTGTATAAGTGTTATGCTAAGAAAGTGAAGAATTAATGGACCAAAAGCAAATTAAAATTTCAATTAAAAGTAAAAAAGGAAAAAAAAAATTAGCCTTCCTTACTTCAAGTGTTGAGAATAATGGCTTTACCCATTGAGAACAAAAATTTAGGATTTTAAATATTATTTTAGCTAATTGCCTCCTGCTAAATACTACTAGGCTTATTCTTCTTGAATTTTATTATTTGGCTTTTTATATTAACCCCTACTGTTACATGGAGTCAGCCCTAAAGTCCAGTTTTCGCATTGGTGCTTCCAATTTGCTTCATTTCATTTACAAATCTGGATCCTACACTTCCTTCCTTCTTCTTCCCTAGTGGAAGCCATTTGAATGATTTAGCTCATCTGCACAGTGTATTTCTGCATCCATGACTGAGCACAGTTTCTCAAGACCCAAGCACAATTAGTTTACTTGCATGTCGTTTGGTTCCCATGAACAACATCTTCCCTCTCCTGGCCTGTTGTTATTCTGGCATGTGACCCAATTTTGTGGACATATACAAGACCCAAATATTGACAGTTCACCATGCCACAGCTTACCCCAGGCTCATCACAGCATACTCTAGTAAGTGGCAATGTAAAGAAAACTTTTACCATGTTGCTTCAATGTGCTATTTTTCAGAGATTGCATAACTACTAATAGGTAACTTGCTCTCATGTTCTTGGACATAAAGCATTAGTATAGTGGTCAATATCTGGCCCACATGGGTCAATTTGAATCTGTCAATTAGAGACTTTGTTCATATTTTCTTATTCTTTTTTCTTTGTCTTTGTTGAATTGGGTTAACAGATTTCAATTGTCATTCAGAGACTCTAAATCAGGAACCAGACAAATAACTTACTTTTATGGAAAGGAAAGAGGTAACAGTGGGAGATAGTGGCAAATTAGAAATTATACATCTGCTTTCTAATTTGTGCCTGTTACTCAGGAACAAACTAAGGATGGTGATCTATGGAAACCATGCCAAGTATTTCTACATTTTCTAATATAATTATTAAAAAAAAACTAGACATTACATTTCTCTAAGAATTATCCTAGCAACTTGGGAGGCCGATGTGGGAGAATTGCTTGAAATCAGGAGTTCAAGACCAGACTGAGCAACATAGTAAGACTTTGGCTTTAAAAGATAGAAATAAATTTTTTAAATTAGCTGGGTGTGGTGGTACTCACCTATAGTCTCAGCTACTCAGGAGGCTGAGTTAGGAGCATCACTTGAGCCCAGAAATTGGAGACTGCAGTGAGCCACGATCTCACCATTGCACTCTGAAAACAAAGAAACAGACAAACAAAAACAAAAAAGAATTATCCTAATTTTGAATTGTTGACCAATCTTAATTTAATTTAAATTTAATTGTTGGCAAATTTTGTGGTTTTGTCCCTGGAGACTAGCTTCTAGTTTGCAACTCTTATTTCTATTTGGCTTATGTTGCCATTTTTACCATGCATGATATTTTTACAGGATAATTTTGCAAATTTTACCATAAACTATGCATAATCAATGAACATTGCTAGATCAAAAGTCCTAATCTACTGAAATAGCTATTGAGTTATCACTTAAAAACACTAAAATTATATTTTAAATTAAAAGTTTTTATACTTCAGCCCAAGGGGATAAATGATGTGGAATTACAGATGCTACAAGAGAATAGTAAGTAGAGAGTTCTTGCTGTGTGGGACATGAAACTTTTAAGCTTCTCTAAAAAATAAGTAAGATTTGCATAATGATTTATGGTTAGTATTCCATGTCATAACATTAATGAATTTGGTACACAGAATAATCCATGTAAGGAGCTACTATTATCTATTTGACAAAGTAAAAAGTAGACTCAAAGACTTGGTCAATCTTTTTTTTTTTTTTTTTGAGACAGAGTTTCGCTCTTGTTAC